TATATATATATATATATATAAAGAGTTAAGAGTTAAGAGTAATGTAACTTATTATTGTACTCAGATGACACATGGATGTAGTCTAATGTAAACGACATGTGGTTGATCAAGTACAGCTAGCATATATAATCCCCATAATTAGCATTCGAAGTTCGAACCAATAGATATGTAGCGGGCGTTTGGACATAAGAATTGTAAAATTTCAAAAAAAAAAAAAAGTTAAAAAGTTTTTCAAGTAATTAGAGTTGTATTTGGACGTGGATATAATGTTGGGTTGTTTTTGACGATTTGTGAGTAATATAAGTGAAAATTTTGAAAAATCGCTTTTTGAAATTTTTCAAATTTTCGAAAAATTTCAAAATTCATCTTCAAGTGAAAATTGAAAATTTTATGGCCAAACACCGATTTCGAAAAAAAGTGAAAAAAATCTTATGTCCAAACGGTCTCGTAATCTCATTTTACGTGACATTCTATTTTTTTTAGTCAATCCCCAAAAAAGACACTTTTTTATATTTAATCATAATTTAACTTTTAATTTTTTTTTTTTACCTTTAATAAGATGATTTTTAATCATATAAATATTTCTATAGATTATTTTAGACCATAAATTTTAAAATCATCATTTATTTCTTAAACTTTATTTCCTGTCAAATATCTTCACATGAATTAGGATGGAAGAAGTAGTTCAATTTTGACACCATTTGATATGTTTCATCTTGATTACCTCAAATTTGCATGTGCAAGAGTACTCCGGCAGAAAACGAAGAAAGAAAGAATCCAAGCAAACCAGAGTGCAAAGCTATATAGGGAAAGTGCAAAAAGGTTAACTGTAGTAGAGTTGTCTCAGATTAGGTCAATCCAACAAAAGTGCAAGTGCAAGTGCAAATTATAGTGAGAATCTTGGCAGGGTTACGTTGTAGTGTGTGTCAGCGCTAACATCGCCTTCTTTCTTTCACGCCCCACTGACTCTGACCCCCTCTCGTGCAGTTGTGCTCTCGCAATTTGCGGTCAAACCATGTGGATGTGGTTTGGACTTTTTTTTCAAATGAAATCATGACTATTTCTAATTAATGTGTTTGGAAACTGGAATTGGATAGTATATTACTAGGAGTAGCTATTATTTGAGTCAAAAACCACCTCAAGCTTATATTCAAATTGTGGATTTAGTACTTTACCAAGAGTCATCGCATCTCACTAGATCAGATATAATAAACAACCTAAATTTTTTTGTGTTTTCCATGGTCAATGTTTATTCTCATATTTCATGTTAGTTTTGTTTGTATCAATCCGATTCCTTAGCAGTCTAAAATTATTCAGTTGAACCACCCATAATTAATTGAAGTAAATGAAATTAATTAAGATGCATGTCACAAAAGAAAAGAAATGATCGGGAGAAGATGAAGATGCCAAAAAAAAAAACGTGAGATAGGGGGGATTTGACACTTTTCAAGTTTACAGAAGCATTCTGGACCCACGCGCGGTTGCTAAAACTGAGGAAAATTAAAGAATTTCATAAGACTTAAAGAGTTTGCAGAAGATAATGGTGAAAAAAATGAATTTGGATCACCCTCTCCACTTCACACTCAGGATTCACCCACACTTGCACGTTTCCTATCCGTTAGGTACAACAATAACAAAACTAGTATAATTCCACAAGTGATTCGGGAAGAATAGTATATATACCTTATCTTATGAAGGTAAAGTTGATAAATCCTATAAAGTCCGATTTAATATAATTTTGCCAGCTATGACTTCTTCACAACTTGTTCGTAGTATCGGTTATCTAACCTGGCCATGTAAAACAACTAAGTTAAAGCAAAGATCTATTAATTACTTATTTACATTTGGAGTACGCCTTGCTCGTTTTTTTCTATTTTTTTCTATTGGGAAGAAGAAAAAGAAAGCTAGTAACCTACAAATGAAAGCTAGTCAAGTAGCAACATATATGAACTTTATAGTCCATGCAAGTAGTTAAACATACTGCAGTACTATGCTAAGATAAGGAAAACCTTAACCAATCACTTGCCAGTATAATGTGAGGAAAATAAGGTTTTTTTTTTCTTTTAATTTCCTTTAGTCAGCAGAAATTAAAATAAAGTTTATGGAGTATATTGAGAAATGCATATTGCCAACGAAATTGAAATAGGGATTGCGAGGTGTAGTGATTTATGCAACTATGTACATAAATAAAAAAATACTACTACTATATGTTTCATTTTATATGACCGTGCTTAAGGTACATTGAATCTTTTTAAAAAATAACTTTTGACATATAACACTAATAAGTTTTAGTTACATACACGGCATGATTTTTTTTTTTTTTACACTATATATCTATGGGTAAGTCTTTTTAAAATGCAAGATTTATAATACTGAAAATAAAATAAATTATCTACTACAACAGGATGGTATAAAAGATTCATGTTACAGTAACTTAAACTCAATTAATAATTGTTTTATATATATAAATACTAAGATATTCAAAGTACTTTTAAGTTGTAATAACTTGTCATTGAATTTTTCAAAAGAGGTGTTAATAGTGAGAAAATGTGACTTTTAAAATTAATGAGCTTCTAAGATAGGCAGTCCTTTTGATACGAGTAAAACAAATGAAGGACTGAGGAGAAATATTGATTGATTAATTTTTCTTATATACACGAAAGGGATTAGGCTCCTCTCCATTCACCTCCCATGAGCAGGCAAAATATAATTATTCAAAAAAAAAAAAAAACAACCCAACCCATATATGGAAGATCTCATAAAGTCTCTTCTCATTTCTCAAGCTTAGTTAGCTCACCCTAACTCAAACTTTGTTATCATTCTTCAAGTGAAGAACAGAAATTTACCTATTCCTTTTATAACAAGAAAGCTGTGATAAATAGGTGAACTCAGAAACCTATTCTTATGACTGAGAGTAGACACATCTCTCTAGCTCCAATCATTATAGCTTTCCTTACTGTTAATTTCATAGCTTCTTCACTCTATTACTCTTGGCTTAATTTCCATATTTCTATATCCGACAAATAAGTGTAAAATTGAAGTCAAAGACTATGGATGAAGAAGGAGAGATGGGAAGAAGGCCTAGAGGCAGGCCGACTGGATCCAAGAATAGGCCAAAACCACCCATTATCATCAACCGAGACAGCGCCAATGCACTCCGAACACATCTCATGGAAATTGCAGACGGTTGTGATATAATGGAAAGCGTTTCAAATTTTTCAAGGAGAAGGCAAAGAGGAGTTTGCATTATGAGTGGAACAGGAAATGTTACTAATGTAAACCTAAAACAACCAGCTTCACCAGGTGAAATTGCAACTCTACACGGGCGATTCGAGATCTTATCGTTATCCGGATCATTTCTTCCACCGCCAGCGCCTTCAGCAGCTTCTGGATTGACTATATATTTAGCCGGCGGGCAAGGACAAGTGGTGGGTGGTAGTGTGGTTGGAGCGCTAATGGCGTCAGGGCCGGTTGTTATTATGGCTGCTTCGTTTAGTAATGCTGCTTACGAAAGGCTTCCGTTAGAAGAAGACGATCAAAATCCACATCCAGTGGCTCCGGGAGATTCTCCGGGAGCCACCGGAGGACACGGACAACAACAACAATTATTAGCAGACGGATCGATACTTCATGGAATGCCACCAAATCTTCTTAACTCCATTCAGTTACCTCCTGAGGGCTATTGGGCAACTGGCCGACCTCCATTTTAACTTTGAAGGAATTTATACAAGGGGTATCAATTCTTTCTCTTGATCTTTTTAATTCACTCCTATTTTCTGTTATATTGGGAGATCAGGGAAGGGAAGGGGGCAGTAAGAAAATTCTATTAGCTACCAGCGATTTAGCGACTGATCAGCGATGGAGTTTGTAGCTAATTCGAGTTTTTTTGTAGTGCACAAGCGCCACAAGATTGTAAGCCTTGGTGTGGTATTCTTTCTCTTGTTTCAATTGTCTAATTAGCTTCTATCCAAGAATTCTTAGGTAAAAGAATTAGGAAAAGGATTTATATTTGGGTCGTTGACCATTTTAAGTTCGTAATTCTTTGCATTAGATATCTCCTACTTTGGATTATATCCTTTTTCTACTTGATTTTGTATTGCGTGCTTGATGATGATCAGGTTATATATGTGCGGTAATTTGATCAAGTGAACTGTGTAAATTTCCTGTTTTCTTGCTGAGTCCCATGAGCTGCTTATAATAAAAGGATTTACATTCTTTCCAACTTTATAAAGCAAGTAGAAGTGTGTACATGATTCATCTGAACAGAAAATGATACTCTTATTCCATAATTATGATACTTGACTGCAGTAATATAATGAGTATATCATTTTTTTCTGGTAAGAATGGTCTATGTATACAAGCTGGCCTAATAGAAGAAGTACAACAACAACAATAACAACGACCAGTAAAATTCCACAAGTGGGGTATGGGGAATAGTGTGTACGCAGACCTACCCCAACCCGAGGGAGTAGTGAGGCTGTTTCCGAAAGACCTCGGCTCAAGAACACAAAAAAAGATAATATATCAGTACTATCAACAAAAACCATAGAAATAATAACAATATCATAGGAACCAGGAAATAGACGAAGACCTGCCTCACATAAGAAGTCTTCTCCTTAATTGCGTTATAAATGGTTTGGTATGGCAATTGGCAAACGACTGACGAAGCAAAGATATCGGTAGGGTAGCAACTAGCAATATTATATACTCCAAAGTTTCCAACATTTTCTTTATAAAACAAGGTTGTTTGTTTTTCCATTCCTCTAGGATCATCTTAATAATCTTGGTAATTAGTAGTAGTAGAGTTTAAGATTTTATACATAAAGAGAGGAGACATGAGTTACATCTGGAGGCCTGGACACTGGAATTTGCACGTGCACAGTGACTGAATAAGCTCTTTTTCGAGGCAAAAGCAATGTTTAGTGTGATGTTATATATACAGTCTGGTGTTGGCCTGGTCATGGACTGGGCTATCTCTATCTTTGATGTTTCTCTATCTATTTCTTGAGGAATTCAAGATTTCTGTAATTAAGGAATTCTTTTTTCACCGGCAATTGAGGAGCTGGCAATTGGGTGGGGGAAAGTTTCTTCTTTTTCTCCGCTTCAAGCATTCGGCGTTTGGAACTCATCACCAGAGGCGGCTCAAGAACATTAGAGGCCTAAAGCCAAACTCTTTTAGAAGGCCTTGAACTTAAAAATAATAAACTTCAAATTTAAATGAAAAACTAATAGTATGATAGAACACTAGAACTTGATTCTAGAAGTCAAAAACTTGATATAGGATAAATTTTATTGTTGCTGCAATGCTTAAAAAAATGAAAATGAAGCAATTTTAATTGGGAGTTTGCACCTAACTAAATAATTAACCTTAAGAATTACAAATCAAAGTGAAAATGTATATCACTCAACTATGGTTAAGTGTAAAAAAATATGTGTGCAAGAGATATATCTTACATTCATTGGCTTGGTATAAATATCCGACGTAGGTAAACTTTTACCGACTTTCATCCCTTATCTTAATTTTTAGAGGATAGACACCTTAGCAAGAAGGAGAAAAGAGAATATAAAACACAAGTTTTATTTTGAGAAAGAAAAAGAAGAAGAATATTAATATGAGAGTGCAAATTAAGTATTAGTCATCATAAGTCACATTGGCTAAATAATAATCTCTATTCTTTTTGAGAAAAATCTTATACCTTTTTATCATAAATATTCAAATGTATTTTGGAAAAATTACTTTAGTGTTAACCTATTATTAATCTAAAAAAGGGGACCTAGAAATTTTGGGGCCTAAAGTCATTGCTTCATTGGCTTTACCCTCAAGCTGGGGCTTTTGCATTTATACCGATTTTGGGATCACAATTGAACCTATACCCACTTTGTAAAAAAGTTTGTAACCGTACCCACTTTACCATCAACTTCAGACTTATCGGGTCTGAAGTTAAAAAAAATTAGTCTCAAGTGAAAAAATTACACTTCAAATGCATTTAAAGCCAAATAGGTCTGAAGTGCAACCAATGATTTCATGCACTTAAGACTAAGAAGTCTGAAGTAAAAAAATTGCACTTCAGATGCACTTAAATCCAATAAGTCTGAAGTGAAAAATTGTATTTCAGATGCACTTAAGGCCAAAAAGTCTGAAGTGCAACAAACGTTTTCATTCACTTAAGGCCAATAAGTCTGAAGTGAAAATTTGCACTTCAAATGCACTTATGGCCAAATAGGTCTGAAGTGTAACCAATGGTTTCATGCACTTAAGGCCAATAATTCTGAAGTGAAAAATTACACTTCAGATGCACTTAAGGCCAAAAGGTCTGAAGTGTAACAAACGTTTTGCTACACTTAAGGCCAATAAGTCTGAAGTGAAAAATTACACTTTGGATGAACTTAAGGCCAAAAGGTCTGAAGTGCAACAAACGTTTTGCTACACTTAAGGCCAATAAGTCTGAAGTGAAAAATTACACTTCAGATGTACTTAAGGCCAAAAGGTCTGAAGTGCAATAGACGTTTTGCTACACTTAAGGCCAATAAGTCTGAAGTGAAAAATTACACTTCAGATGTACTTAAGGCCAAAAGGTCTGAAGTGCAATAGACGTTTTGCTACACTTAAGGCCAATAAGTCTGAAGTGAAAAATTACACTTCAGATGTACTTAAGGCCAAAAGGTCTGAAGTGCAACCAACGTTGTTATGCACTTCAGGTCAAATAGGCATGAAGTGCAAATTGCCCAGAAACAGAAATTTGTTCTTCGAATTATAACAATCCAATATACGATTTAATACATAAATCTACTCCAAATGAGCTCAAATTTAAAACATAACCTCCAAATATCATCAGGATCAAACCTCAATCATCAATTTGTCGAAACAATAATAAATCTAATGAACCCATTTTGAAATTAAGAAAAAGAAGAAGAAGAAACCCTAAACAATAGTAAAAAATAAATCGCCATAACATCTCACCATTGTAAAGTATCATAAACTATATTAAAATATGTTCACAACCATCATATAAAATCATTGTCACTCGAAGAAGAAGAAGAAGAAGAAGAAGAAAAGAAGAAGAAGAAGAAGAAAACGAAGGAGGAGGAAAAAGAGGCCTGGAGTTGTTTAAAAAGTGAGTACAAGTTAAAACTTTTTTTAAAAGTGAATATAGATTAAATGAGAGCGATTAAATAGGGTGCCCCGTACAATTTTTACCTCTAGCCGGCACTACTCATCACTCAATCCGGTCAGTGGCAAAACTAAAAATTGTGACCAGGAGATTCAAATAAATCTAAAAATATCATACATGTTGATTTGAGCATATGTTTCTCTAGTGATAAGGGCATTTGAGATTTTATATACGTATTATTTACTTTTACATTATATTTACGAAATATAAGTTTCCACGAAGGGGATCCAATTGAATTCCCTCCGTCGTATGTGATTCCGCCACTGTCCCTACTTATTTTGATGAGATATTATTTGGAAAATAACTAAGAATGATACTCCAATTTAAAGGTGAAAGGGTATTATATGACTTCTTAAAGGGTGTAAAAAAATCTTAAAAGACGAACAATATGAACATGAGCGAGTAACATTATTATTGCGGTAGCTCCATGCTCCATATAATCAAACATGGCACAATATATANAAAAAAATAGGTAATGGATACATATTACAAAGTACAAGTTTAAATATACCAAAAGCTAGGATTCTCATGCAACGTTAATTAATTTTATGAATAAAATCAAAAGACATAGTCCGACCAATTCTATCTCTGTTCTTTTAGCCATTATGCTATCAATTAAATTTTGGTATATCTCTATATTTTGAAATTCGATTGATCTGATAGACGTTATCAGAAGAATCATTCTTTGATCAACTTTATCTTCACCATACTTTCCAGTTTTAACAATATCAATTACGTCTTGATATAATTGTCTCTCAAGGTTGATTGCTCTTTTGTGGAGTATTCAAGAGTATTCAAACCTCGCTTTTTCTCTTTTAATATGTCATGCACAAAATCTTTACAATGATGAACTTTAGTGTCGTTTTGTCCCTATACTTTCCGAAAATGATATATTCTGATGTACTAAAAACATATAATTCCAACATTTAAGAAGTATATTGCATAAAATATAAGTTCAATAATATAATAAATCAAAGGCAGTAAGATATAGACTCACAAAGTTGTAAGCAAGTATGTGTGAAGTCATCTTTCACAAATATATGCAGAGCCTTACTTCTTTCTCAAGAACAAGAATCAAATAATGGCACAGTTAGTTATGGGTTATATAACAATATCTTTCATCAAACATTGATATTTTAAAGCTATTTATGTGACGAAAGATTTTATTATAAAGCTTTTAGATACTTGTCATGATCCAAAATCTCACATGTCGTGATGGTGCCTATCTCGATACTAGGCAAGCCGACAACCTCAATAAAACTACATTTTCTTAAAGTTTGAAAAACATAATAATTTGAGTTTAATAAAAGGCCTCACAATTTCAGATACAAACACTCCCAAAACCTGGTGTCACTGAGTACATGAATATCTAATATGAATACAAGTTTGAAAAATACGGTCCATAACAGTCTGAGACCAAATACAGTAAACAAGGGGATAGGGAAGGAGAGGCAAGGTCTGCGAAACACGACAGCTACCTCAGAATCTCCAAAAAAATCAAGTGCGCGAAAGAATCAACACCCGTCTGGGAACACCTGGATATGCACACGAAATGCAGGGTGTAGTATGAGTACAACCAACTCAGTAAGTAACAATAATAAATAAAGAACTGAAGATATTGACGAGCTACACAGTTATAGTTCACTTTCAATAATTCCAGCAAGAATAGACATGATTTTCGAATCCAGCAGTTTAAGTCAAATAAATTTTATACATTTCAAGTTCATATAATCCGGATATAAAATCTTTCAGAGAATTTCACATCAATGACAGATAGCAACTAAGTGCAACAATAAATAAAAAGCAAGTACAGCCTCTCAGGGCAACAGTCACTCGACTCGTCACAACAGCTCAACCACTCGGCTCTCAGCCCTCAACACTCACACTCAATGGGTACCCACGCTCACTGGGGTGTACAGACTCCGGAGGGGCTCCTACAACCCCAAGCGCTACAATCTGCACGGACAACTCACGTGCTGCACGGATAACTCACGTGTTATAGTA